TCTCTGGAGAGTTGATCTTGGGAATTAATTGTAAATGTCCTTTTAAGTAAGGACAGAGGCAGACTCTGTGGAAAGTAAGTTCAATAACACCTTTCTGTTGTAACTAGTGTTCGGTAATCAACACAACTTTACAGTTTTTTTTAAATGGAGAAATTAAACCATAAATCCATTTTTGCCTGAATTTTCTCTTTTATTCTCAGTCTGATGAAATATTAAAAAAAATCTCAATACAGATAGCTGAACCACTAGTGCCCTTTTATACACATATATATGCATACTTTACTCACATACACTAAACACACATAACTACACATACACACACACATCCCAACAGAAAATGGTGACATTATAGATGCTGAAAGAAAGAGAATAGGATGAATGTCTGCTTCTGTAAACACTTGAAAGGTGACATAGCGGCTTTCTGACAAGGGCAGTCTTGGCTCCGTTTTAATCTTTAATCACATAGATGGCTTGACCCTCTACTGTTTCTGCTTCTCTTACACACAAATTTAAAGACTGGTTAATTGCAAAGTTACACAGTTAGCATTTTCTGATGTCTATTCTTGTCATGACTCTTGGTGTTGTGAGAATGAAGAAACCCACACATTTTCTCTTTCCTTCCCTGCTAGTTCCATTTTAAGAGTATTACCTCGCGTTGAAAGACAGAGCTAATGTAAAGTGGGCTAGTTGTCCTTGCCTTTTGTGAATGATTATTGATCAAGGCAGTCAGTGCTGTGGTGTCAGTAGGAGCAAAGTGCTTTCCCAAATCTGTAAACCACCTTCTCTTTACTGCCTGTGTTTGCTGACTCTTCATTTATACCACGCTGGAAGAATATAAAATTAATTAACCCTGTAAGCTGCTGCCTGGGGCAAGTAGGTGATACGATAGATAGAGCACTGGGCCTGGAGGCAAGAAGACCTGAGCCCAAATGTGGCCTCGGACACTCATGTAGTGGTGTGACCCTGGGCAAGTCACCTAACCTTGTTTGCCTCAGTTTCCTCTTCCATAAAATGAAGTGCAAAAGGATGTGGCAAACCACTCTAGTATCTTTACCAAGAAAGCCCCAAATGAGATTATGAAGAATCTACCATGACTAAAATGACTAAACATAAAAAAGATGCTGCTTGGAATATCTTTTTTTTTGGGCAATCTATTTTCTGTTTCTGTCCTATAATCTACATTCCACATTCCAGATGTTCATGACAGTCCTTCATCTTTGGAACTGTGGTGCTTTTGTGCACCAACTAGTAGTTGAATGAGGGTTTTGCCGGAATGAATGTCTAAATTAAACATCAGAGCATTTTGTGTTTGTGTATCCCCCCTTTTCCCCTGACCTCCCTATTCTCTCTCTATTTTGTTTTTAACTATGAATGACCCAGACTAGGACTTAAATACTCATGCTAGGTCTTCTTCATATTTCTAGAGTTGTTCCTTTACAAGGTACCTGTATATAGTTTAAAGGTAACACTTCTTTTTGCCTATAAGGCAGGTTTATTTGGAACTAGTTTTACCTTCCTGAGCTACTCATTCCTTCTAGTGCAAGAAACACCCAAATCACCTCTTCCCTGAAAGTGCATTTCATACATCTCCATCTTTGTGATAGCACTGGAGTCATTATGTAGCAGTTGGCTCTGATACGCTTGCACAGACACAAATTCAGTCCGACAGGACTGATGTCTCCTGGACTTTGCTGTCATTTGAAATGCTGGCATGAGGATGGTAGCAATGAAAGGCAGCGAGGAGAGGGGAAAAGAGCTGATGGCTGCACACTTTGCCTATGAAGATTTCTTTTAAGATTTTTATCTTTTGATATAGCTGTGAATGATTCCAAGTAATTTTACAGGAGAGATTGATAAGAATAGTCAATTCAGGGTAGCTGGCCAGGTAGTGTCCCCTAATAGATCCTGAACCATATACTAGAGTTTAAAACTTGATTCTTCTTACCATCTCAAAATCTATATAAAGCTGTCTGGTGGAATAATCATTAGAATGATTTTTCCTCCCTTTCTATTTTATTTTTCCTTCATATAGGCTACTCATGCATAGTAATGAAATTGATATCATCTTTTCTCCCTTCTTGTTGTGTTTGATAAGCTCAGGCACAGTGTTTGTCTTGCAGTTATTTTTAAGGCCTAAGTTGTTTCAGTGATGTGGCCAATTTTGGGACATCTCTAGCATTCCTTGTTGCATATTACTTTTATGTGCTATATGTTTCAATATGACAAGATTAGAGGTGTCCAATTTTTGTTTTTAAACATTCTGGTTAAACATGGTCATTCCCGAATTCTTCCTGGAGTGAGAAAATTGGAAAAAATCAAATCAAATGTAAAAGTAAAGTAATTCTATGACTACTGAGCACAAGAACTAGCTCTAGAATTCCTGGTTCTGTGATAATAGTTTCTATTCTCACTCAAGTTCAGGTTTTCATTACCTTTAGTATTAGTCTCCCTGCCTGTAGTCTTTGACCTCTTTATTCTGTCCTTAGAAACCCATGAGATGAATAATTTTCTACATCATAGTTCTGATCCTGTTGTACTCAGTACCCTTCAAAGTCATCCTATTGCCAACTGAATAAAAATCCAGGCTACTTAGCCTGTCACTTGGGCACCTCGTCATATACCGCTAGTCTCTCTGTCTTGCTTTCCAGACATTTATTATTCAGTCATTTTAGTCATGTCCAGTCTTTGTGACCTGATGTTGAGGTTTTCTTGCCAGTGATACTGGGGTATTTTGCTATTTCCTTCTCCAGCTCATTTTACAGATGAAGAACTGAGGCAGATAGGGTTAAGTGACTTGCCAAGGATCATAAAGCTAGTAAGTGTCTAAGGCTGGATTTGAACTAATGAAAATATGTCTTCCTTGTTCCAGGCCAACTACTCTATCTACTGTGCCACACATTTGCCCTTCCCTTTTCTTTCTTTCCTTCGTCCTTTCTATTTCTTTCCTTTTTTCCTTCTTTCATTCCTTCCTTCTTTTTCTTTCTTTTCTTTTCTTCTCTGTCTCTTTCTTTTCTTGTCCTTTCTCCCTTCCTTCCTTCCTTCCTTCTTTTCTTTCTTTCTTTCTTTCTTTCTTTCTTTCTTTCTTTCTTTCTTTCTTTCTTTCTTTCTTCTTCCTTCTTCTTCTTCTTCCTTCCTTCCTTCCTTCCTTCTTCCTCCTTCCTTCTTCCTTCCTTCCTTCTTCCTTCCTTCCTTCCTTCCTTCCTTCCTTCCTTCCTTCCTTTCTTCCTTTCTTCCTTTCTTCCTTTCCTTCTTTCCTTCTTCCTTTCTTTCTTTCTTTCCCTTTCCCATAGCTTAGAATCTTCCTATCACCCCCAGAAAGCTGTCATTCTTACCAGTAAAAGTAAAGTGGGAGGGGCAGCTAGGTGGCACAGTGGATAGAGCACCGGCCTTGGATTCAGGAGGACCTGAGTTCAAACATGTACTCAGTCACATAACATTTATTAGCTGTGTGACCCTGGTCAAGTCACTTAACCCCATTGCCTAACAAAAAAAAAGGTAAAATGGGGAAGTGAAAGGAGTACTGGTTTGGAACCAGAGGGCTCAGATTCTAATCCAGACTGTTTCTCTTTCTCTCTGGAACAAGTAGTTCCACCTCCAGAGGACTCAGTTACCCCATCTGTAAAATGAGGAGATTGTATTAGATGGTTTCCCTCTCTCCTGTAGCTCTTGTAGTATTGTATATATTTATATATATCATCTATTGGTACTTGTTATATACTGTTTCATATTCTTTTAATTTCTACGTGGCTCATCTCACCCATTAAACTGTTTTCCTTGAACGTAAGTACAATGTCTTAGGATCATAGTTCTAAACATGGAAGGAAACACAGAGCCTTTCTAGTCCAACTCCTTCATTTTACAGAAGAGGAAAGCTCCCTAATCCCAGGCAGCTTGAATTTTTTAGAAGTAGAATTTGAATTTAGGTTATCTGATAATGAGCTGTCGCTCTTTGCACTGAACCAATTCATCTTTCTTCCATGCACAATCCTTTGTATACTCTTTCAACAAATGAAAGAGTGGATGAATAAATGATAATAATTGTTATAAGGAAAATATAAAAGAAATAAATTATTTTCCTTAGTAACCTTAAAAATCTCAAATCACAAATTTTTGTTTTGGCATAGAGATGTCCTTGGGTTTTAGATAACTTTTCCCAAAAAGAACCTTGAGCTCTGGTCGTAGAAAGGTTTTTGGAATGTCTAGCCAAGGAATGTTTCTTTGCCTATTGTCCGCATTTCTGTCCAGCTAAGTTCAGATAGGTACTGTTAAAGGGCTGGCCAGCAGGTGAATGTCTTTTTGTGGTCCCAGCAGTTCGTTGAAACAAGAGGTAGAGAGTTTGCTTTCTACATCAGTAGAAGGAGTATTGACTTGAAGAAGTTAATTCAGAAAGGTCATGCTAACTATTATTTTGACTTATGGAAGCCAAACTAGACTTAAATGTTGATGTGTCTGCAGGGAGAAAGCCGAATGTACCATTTAAAAAAAATTCAACCTTCTACCATTTAGCTTGAGAAGTTGAATTAGCCCTGTCATTTCACCTAGTTCTAAGAAAGCAGCTTCCATTATGTTGTCAATAATAGACTTTTATTCTGCACGGTAGAACTTCTCTCGAATCCCTCTTAGAGCATTGGTGTGTTTCATTCTACTGATGTATTCAAGTAGTGTTTCATTAAAAGTGACAGTTCATTCTCATGGTTTATTGCCCCAAAGGTGGCATTGAGCAGGGGAGAGTGAAATCTGAGGAGGTTGACTTCAGGTTGGTCTGAAAATGGGAAAAGTTGGTCTTTGGCGGTGACATTTAGCTATTCATGAACAAAGTAGACCTAAGGATTTCCTTCCTAATGTAGATGGATTGTGATTACGGTTTGTCATGTTTTCACAATGCTTTGTTTATCTCATTGTGGTGGTGATGGAAAAGTTTAAAAAAAAACCAGAAATCTAACCCTTTCTTTTTTTTTTCTTCTTTTTTCTCTGTCTTTTTTATTTCTGTTCCTCTGCAGGCTCTGAAAGCCCATCAGCTGAAATTTCAGACCAGACAGACTTGCAGTGGCTTCTGGGCCCGTGAGAACGAGGCTGCCAAGGCTTGCTGGTGCCAAGCTGCAGAATGATTCACGTAGCCAGGCCAGTGGTGGTACTCCTGTACTTCGTCCTCTATGCTGAGGCCGAGAGTAAGTGACATTTCTTCCATTCTATATGGGAGTTGTTGTCATCATAAAGAATGGTTTTGTTTTCATTTGGCACTAGGATCCAGGACTGTGAATAAGTTTCCTTTGGAGTAAATTTTGAGACACTGTGGGATCCTCCTTGGCCCTCAGCCAGTATTTGAAAGGGATTATTTACATGACTTCCTTGCCATTTCCCTCCTTTTAATGCCCCCTTTCTTATGCATTGAACTGATCCTACTGTGTTTTATTTACTTCTTACCAGACTGTGGATAAAGACAATATGAGGAGAATGATATCTCCCAAAGGGATATTAACCATTCAGTGATTCTAAGTAGCAACCCATCATTCAGGCCCATTTGAAACTTCTTTGTGTTTTTTTTTATTATTATTTCTAAGTTTGGAAAAAAGCACAATATCATGTTGAGTCCAATTAAACTTCCAAGCCCCTAGTAACTGTCACAGCAGCTGTTCTAATGTATTATTTCCGACAGCTGTTGTAGAGTACAGTGTCCAAACAGATCAAGCGGAACTGACAACTTTGTGGCTCAGTGAAATCAGTGTGTGTGTGTGTGTGTGTGTGTCTGTGTGTGTGTGCATGTGCACGTGTGTGTGTTTGTGCTTAAGAAAAAGAGAGAAAAAATGTATGCATGTTTATAAAAATTGGTGGCGTATAGACACTGAGGCTCTGATTACTACTCTCATTTTATGAAACTATAGAGTTTTGCTCAATTAGCTTGCCAATTAATGAGAAGATAATATCTTCTTTTTAATTAGGAAATCATTAGGTCTACCTTGTTTACACGTGTTTCTTTTCCCAGCTGGCCTGTGGCCTTTTGGAAGAGATAGTACAGAAACGAGCAAATTTCACTGGCTTGTACTTGTTGACAGGGCTGGTTTCTTGCTGGTGGTTCCATTCCCATGATTGCTGGACTTTCTCTTTGGGAGTCCCTCGTTGCTGTTAAGAGGAAAAACATCTGCAGTCATTAGTTTCCCTCCCCTGCCCCCAACTGACTATTTCAGTGAGATTAAGTCATATCACATTAAGGATGTCTCCTACTCAAGGGCTCTGTGTCATCTTGGCTCATATATATTAACTGCATTCTGACAAAAAGACCCCCAAAACAGCCCATTTCCTCATTTAGATAAAGGGCTCTATTTTTTCCACACAATCTTTCAGGGGGGTGAATGAGAGAGTACATATATAGAACATATTCTTTTGTAGCATACCAAGGGTTAATAATGTGTGGGCTCTTCTCCAGGCTGTTAATGACCAGCTGGGAGAGTTGTGTCTAAGGTGAAGCCAAGGACGGTTTAACACTTTAGCCAGCAAATAATTAACTGGGAAAAGACCCAAACATGGGGTATTCTTGTTCTTTCAAAACATAGTTTATGTCTTAGTTGCTTTTAAAGTTGAAATCTAAATTTAGTTAATGAAAAAAATAACATTTTGGAATACAGCATATTGCTTCCACTTTGTAAAGACTAGTCTTTACTTTGGGCAGATGAAAAACAAAATTGTTTTACATATCCATTGTCAGAAAGCATCTAGACATTTGCTTAAAAAAAGCTTTTGGCTCATTAGGTCTTAGTCCAGTGCATGTAATTTTCAATATTGATTGAGTTCTTTTAACTCTGCAGATACACAGACAGGCACGCAGACAGACACACATACTTTCATATGTTTAAGCACTCTTCATTCTTACCTCCTGACTCTTTGGAGGAAAGGGGCAGGCTGACTCTAACACTGATACATCCCCTTTCAACATTATTGTTAAAAAGAAAAAAAAGAAAGAAAGAGAAGAAAAACTTTGAAAGCAGCTCTCTCTACAGAGAAGCTTATCTTTGTCATTTCCCTTCAGTATAGTACAGCACTTCCAAAGAAATCATAAAAGTATCTTGTTAGTATATTTTGGTTATGGCAAAGTAATGTAGTTGTTTGAATTTCAATAATTTATGTGGTTTTTATATTTGACTGTAGCTGTAATATAACCCAATTTGCTTCTCTCTTATCCCATCAATGCTGTTACATTGATGAATCTAGGGCTGGGAAGATGAAACAAGAATTGTTTCTTTTACACACACACACACACACACACAACACACACACACACACACACACACACGTATGTGTGTATATGTGTATATGTGTATATATACACATATATGTGTTTCTTTTACATATATACACATATATGTATAAACACATAAATATACACACATACATGCATATACATATACATTCATGTATCTATTTATATATATACATATACAGATATAGATACATATATGTATATATACACACATGTGTATATGTATATCACATGTGTGTATATTATCCTAGTATATAGTATATATCTGTGTGTGCGCATATATATACATATGCACACACACACGAGTGTGTATATGTATATATGCACACACATATATAATCCTAGTAATGAACTCACTGCAATATCTTCTTTTTTACATAATTCTTTATTGAACTAGAAAGAATAGTCAGTACATTGCTGTACTATATGTGGTTTATCCCCTTTATTATATTGACATAGAACCATAGGATTAATGCTTACATTAAGGGCTCCATTTGTTATATCAGGTATTTACACTATGCACTTATGTATGTGTAAGGTCCCTTTTACTTCTAGGATTGCAGCGTTCTATAATTTGACACATGGCATATACAAGATTGTATAACAATTCATTGTACTTTATTAGGCTTCTCCAACCTGCTTGTTTTATATAATCTATAAACAAGCAAAGGAAGCATGGTACAAGGGAAAGAGCACTTGATATAGAGTCAGAGTACCTGGCTCTGACCTGTTCCTCACTCTGTGACCTTAAGCAAGTCATTTAACCTCCATAAGCTTCAGTTTCTTCATGTGTAAAAGGTTACACTAGAAGGTCTTGAAGGTGTCTTCTAGCTTTTAATCCATGATTTTATGATATTGTGATTTTCTACAGAGTATGTGACTAATCAATAAAAGATGGTAAGCAAAGGGAGCCAGGGGAATGCATTTCTGCCAATATGAGTGGGACCAGTGTTAATTATGCAGTGAATAAATTTATGATTAAGACTAATCATCTCCAACATATTTTGACCCTGTATTGTCATCATCAAATTACCTAGTTCATGGAAGGAAGAAATAGTGAGAATTAGAAAACGTCCTCTTTTTGTAATGGCTTATGCCATTTAAAATGTTCATCTTCAAGTAATTTACCTATGGAACATTCATATCTTATTAAAAATGCCTTTCCAAAATTATTATTTGAGCTCACAGGTGTATTTTCCAAACACTTAATTATTCTTAAATAGGTGATTTGCTGTGCTTAATATAGCAATTTAGTAAGATTCCCTTTGGCAATATTCATACCTGAAAGGAAAAAAAAAGATATATTGGTTACTCTAACCAGTAGGAATACATTTATTTAGAGCTTCCTTCTTTATTAGTTTTTTTTAAGCAATGCTTATTAATGCCCAATTCCCTTGAGCTTCCTTGACTATGAGGTAAAGCAGAAAGAAAGACCATTTGCTTTTAAGCCCTTAAATGAGCAACATCCTCCTGTCCATAATGACAAAAATGCTTTAGCTTTTTCTGTGATCCTCTTATCCAGCTGCTGATTTTCTGGTGACATTCTGAATTAATTGGTCACTAGCAGAGAAGTAACCACCCTGTAGCTTTTAAGAATACAAAATAAAAACATCAAATATCTATGTCACACATAATTCTGTACCATGCATTATAAATTGCTTTCTTTTGGTCTTTTTTCCTTTCCTTTTTGCCAAGAAGGTAACACTTTTTTTTTTATCTTTGACTCTTTTGTGTGGCAAGGCACTAAAGAGAAGGAAGAATACCCAAAGTGTTAACAAGGTGTTTTTGGAAGCTAGCTATTACATTCCTTGTGGTGTGGGAACACTTAGGATTTCACTGCCATGTGATTGGCTGTTTTCCCTTCCTCCAGGTCACCAGCTGCTTGATCTACCCTCCCTCCACCTAGTTGCTATATATAGGGTCACTTTTGACCACTTAAACTTTGATTTGTTTCTGAGGCTTACCTCTTCCTGCCAGTGTTTACATGGCCCAGTCCACCATGAAAGTCACAAGCCACCAACTATCCTTAATTGAGCGATGGGGCTGGTGAGTGAGGAGGGATAAGGTATGAATGGATGTGAATGATTTGCAAACCCACTTCCCGGCAACCTCTAGGCTTAATCTGGGGTTCAGAAACTTAATATTTTTTTTATAACTGCATTTCAGTATAATTGTTTTTTTCTGTGATCCTAGGTATTTTTAATGCATTGGAAAACTTTATTCTTAGAAGTGGTCCATAGAATGCAGCAGATTGACAAAATGGCCTCTCTCTCTCTCTCCCCTCCCCCCCCCACGAAAGTTAACCCCCGAGCTAGATCTCACATACTATTTTTTTTTCTTTTTTCCTTTCTCTTTGTCTTCAAATTCCACAGCCTACATAGCAATAGAATTTCAAGGGATCCCCTCAGACCTTAGTTTGACAATATGTATCTCATTTTATCCTCCTGGTTCTATCAGCAATTTGGAAGCCTCAAAGAAGGAGATATCTACTGACATGTACTGTGCCATTTACTTGACTGCATCTGATCATTCTAGAGAAATCTGTAAAAAATATAAATTGTTATCTAGATATGCAGTTCTTTTTCCAAAAAGAGATATTAGTTATAATGCTCTTGACTCTTCATGCAATCACTTTTGTGACTTCAAATAACATAAACTTAATGAGCCCTTTACCTTTTGGTAAGTCTGTACCACTAAAATTTGACCTTAAGAAGTTGACAGTAAATTGGCCCAAAATTGTAACCATGCTGTGTAGGAAACTTACAAATGTTTAGTCTTAAAAGTGATAATTCATTTTTCATCATTCATAATTTCTTTTCCAAATTATATTATTTGCTTCTGTCTTAACTATTCTAGCCATCAAATTATCCAGATTTTAGTTGAAGTATTTTCTCTTAACATTAGTGACAAATG